ACCTATTCAAGCTCTCATAGTGTAGCTTTGAAGACTTGTGCAATATGGGAACTGGCATTGTCGTCAAGGAAGGTTTGGCTTCGTCGATGGCTTTTCACTCAAATAGCCTCTGTCTCGCGTGTAGCTGGTCTGTGTATAGCTCGTTGTTGACAGTGGCATTCCTTCAAGGCGATTCCCTGGGCGCCATGCCCACCCAGTCCCACTGACCAGAGATTATGAAACGGAGATCTGTTGTATATGGGTAATTGGAACTCAGTTTCCAATCTTTTAAGTTCGGATAACTTATGTGTAACATCTCGGATTGAGATGGGGCCGTGGCAATGATGTAAGTACCTAAGGACAGGTCGTAAAATGGATGCATCTGGTGATATCCCTATATCCTTAGGTACTTGTGGTTCTCTCACGAGACCCTAACTTTGGCCACGCCCCCATCTACTGTCGATCCGTTGGCTGATCGAGCTGATCAGTCAGTCTGGAGTTTTGCCGAGCTCACGGAAGGTGAGCAGATCGGTCTCTCCCGGAATCGGGAGGGGAGTTTCCCAACGTCGTCGCGAACGACTTGGTGATGGACTCTACGTGGTAGAGGGCTCCCCCTGGCTCAAGGGAAGTGTCGCGACGATGCGAGCTTCAATCTCCTCACTCGGTGAAGAGCGGATCTTTCCCTGTGGGAAAGTGGATGTGCAGTAGTGCGTACGATACGGCTACAGATGCACGTTTGACGTGGTTCAGCGCAGTGGTCGTTCCCTTATTGGTTTGACCAAGAAGTTAGCATGAATGGTTGCCAGCGTCTCCGGTGTAGAGTTTGTCAACATTCCTAGCATGACAGGAGAATTGTGGAGAGTACCCTTTCCCTTTGGTTTGCGTTCAGTGCCTGGAATTCTGTGCTTACATGTCTGGCCCATATTTATGCTTCTGGTTGCATCCGCCATCCAGGAATTTGTCATACATGCTTGATAAAAGGTTAATTGACGAAGCATGACTGTATGTGTAATCGAAACTATCCAGCGACATGTTAGACGCGCATTCAGATCTTCTGCGATCGCGCGATCCGGATCGCGCGATCGCTGTGATCGCGTGATTTGGATCGCGCGATCGCGCTACTGTGGGTGAAATTACACCGGGAGGGGGTCATGTTCGTTCATGTTTATTGCTGCTGTCTTTTTTCCTTTTCCTTCTTTCTTCCTTTGTGTACATAACGCGCCCTCCTAATTTTAAGGAACGTTTCGAAATATCTTTGAGTTATTTATTATTTCCTATGTAAAATAGTACTAAATATACAATATGCTAATTATTATACTGAATTTTGCATCTGAGTACGTTCAAGCGGAGTATTGAACATCTTGTTCCAAAAGTAAGACACGCAGAACTTTCAACAGCGGGTGATGTTGTTTCTCTCCCTTCCCCCGATTTTGCCAGTTCTCCAGATATTCACTTTACTTTTGTCACATTGTGTTTGCTTTGTTTGTTCTGCCATCCTCCAGGTCTATACACAACCTTTCCTTTCGACGGTTTCTGCAAACGTCAGTATTGCGAATATGAACACGGAATAAAAGACATCAAAAAAGGTCGAACTACTTT